TGCAAAACCAGTGTTTCCCCATCTTAGATCTCTGAGCAGCTCAGACCTGTAAATAGCAAAGGAAATCTGAAGCTTTTTTTCCTGCACTTCTCTGTCCAATTTTCCCAGCACCATTTAATGAATAAACTGTCTTTAGTCCATTGTATGTGCTTGCTTCCTCTGTCAAACAAATTGGCTGTAAAGGTGTAGGTTTATTCCTGGGCTCTCTGTTTTGTTGTCTATGTGTCTGTTTTTATGCCAGTACCAAGCTGTTTTGATTACTATGGCCTTGTAGCATATTTTGCTATCAGGCAGCATGATTCTTCCAGCTTTGTTATTTTTTTCTCAAAATTGCTGTTGCTAAGGTTCCATATAAATTTTTGAAATATTTGTTCTAGTTCTGTGAAATACGTCATTGGAATCTTAATATGAATTGTGTTGAATCTACAGATTGCTTTGGGTAATATGGACACTTTTTATGCAAGAAAACTGACATTACATGGGTTTTCTGTCTAAAAATATATAACTTTGGTGTTGTAGTTATTGTTAAGTATATAACTTTGGTGTTGTAGTTATTGTTAAGTAAGACAATATAACAGAAAGTAAGAAAATGTAGTCATTAACATTGACGGTTACTTATTAGACACATCTTTCCAAATATGGACTAAAAAAAACTCACCAAAGTTTAGATAATGAAGGAAAACATAAGGGCCTCTCATGGTAAAATAGTTTGTAGCCACTGAGGTAGAGGTACCATCCTCTCCTTTGGATGCAGACACACAGCGGTGTCTCTCACCTTTTCTTTTTTAAATAACCTAAAGGCCTTTTTAGGCCTTTTTTTCCCCTATTCAATCCTGCCCCCCCTCCACAACACTGGAAGTTTATTACCACAGATTTGTGACATATTTCTGTGCACTGTGGCTCTTTGGAGGGCCACAAACCCTTACAGGATCTAAGATCATTCTTTGTCCCTCGAGGATCAATTTTTGGCCTGTTGGGGTTGATAGTGTCACATTTAAAATGCACTATGTACAGCAGTCACTCAAGGGATTATTCTAATTGTGCTGTTGTCAGGCTAATTCCCATGCCATCCAGCCATCCCGGACTTCTTTTTATGTCTCTTTGCTCTTTAATAGGCTCAGAAAATGGAAATTAAATCAAGATTTCCCCCTAAGTCAGTGCTTCTCAAATCTTTCTCCACACCTAAATGGTTAACTCTGAACAACATGGCAACTAAGGCTGTAACTAAAAGTGGATGATCACGTGTAGGAAATTGCTTCAGAGTCTCATTTATCTCAAAAAATGTGCAAATTGTGCATTTTATTCCTTGATATATCTGTATTCAGTTCAGTATTAAAAAATACTAACAATCTCTCATCCTTGAGTAAAACTGGTGCTCTAGGAAAAAGTACTATTTATATCCATACATCCTTGCACTTACTTCACTATCGTTGCCATTACTCACAGGAGTTGAAAAATACCTTGAGCATGGACAACAGCACTAGAATAAACACATGCCGTTCCAATACCTGTTTTTAAGGGTGACGTTTATTCAGGTACAAAAGTTCCCATAGAGTTGGTAAAAATCCATAGGCATGTACTCCCAAACTACAATAGAATACCTTGGGAACTGTGAGATAATTTTATCTTGTTTCATCACTTCCCTCTATTTTTTTTTAAATTACTTATTTATTTTTAGAGAGGGAAGGGAGGGAGATAGAGAGAAACATCAATATGCGGTTGCTGGGGGTCATGGCCTGCAACCCAGGTATGTACCCTGACTGGGAATCAAACCTGCGACACTGCTTCCCTCTATTACCCACACATATAAAGTGACTAGGGAGTTGGAGTCTCCCACTATTAGACATTGTGGGGGGAAAAAACAAGTAGGGGCAGTGAAGGCTGTTTATAAGCTTTGGGAAGATATGTGTCAAAAGAGGGATTAGTTTTAAGAGATTTGTTCTAATGACCAGCATGGAAATGGTCTACCTCTTTTTTATTTTTTACAACAGCTTACACTTTTCAGGTTGTAACAGATCTTGTTAAGATCTTGCCCAAAAGCTTTCTGTAAAATTATGCACTCAACAAATTCTGTTTTTGTTCTGTCCACACCTCACTGACATTCCTCTTAAAATACAGTAATTGCTGCTTTCAGTATAGCATTGATCGTTATAAATGTGAACTCATTGTCCTATCTTTTTAATGGTCTCCTCAGCATATACACTAAACATTACATTAATTCACATACTACCTGACTGAGAAGGGATAAATAACAAATCTAAAAATGGAGACTCAAGGGTGGATTTGGAGAGTGAGAATTATAAAATTGCTTAAATCAAAGTCCCTCAAAAGCATCTGACCAAAACAGTCAAACAAAAAATTAAGATAATCAAAATTAAATAAATGTTCAGTGATAAGTAGAAATTTATATGCAGCAGGTCGCAAAATGTTGCAACATAGATTCCATTTCACTTCTGTATGTAGGCCCTAATACGCGACACAGTTCAACCTCTGAGCACTTGTAGGGTTCTGAAGAGACGTCAGCACTGTTCAGTGGAAATACATTTTTAGTTAAGGCAATGAGGACTAGGTTTAAATGAGTTCTGGATTTAAAAGGGAAATCCATCTATTGAAAAAAAAGTTTGCTTTAGGAAGGTTTTATTTTTATTAAAATGCCTTTAAAATCTATCCTGATTCCCTTCAGAGGTTGTTTGAATCATTTTCTCTATTTGATGTTGCAAATATATTTTGTGTACCAAGAAAATGCCAATTCCAGAATGAGAGATACTTTCACTACTCTAACTAGAAATTTGATTTAATCGTCATGAGTATTTTTCCCTGCTAATTTAGGTTTTCTAGATTCTGTTTACCATTTATTTTTAAGCAAATAGCTTTCTCTTAAATAAAATTAGTCATCTAAATTCCACTACATTCGGCCAGTATTCTTTATAGAAGCTTCACAGAGCCGATGGGTTCTTGGAGTTTCTAATAGGTGCCATCTTCTTTAGGGCCATCCATCAAGATCAGAGACATTGTACACAGGTTTGTTAAATGCAAAGTTCTAAATCTTAATACCTCAGGCCCAGCCACCCTGTCTCTGGCCCATCCACGGTGGCAGTGCACACACAGCCTGCTGTTCTGCGCACAGAGGCTCGACATTCAGGTGCCCTTCTCTGTAGTTTGGATGGAAACAAAACAACAATATTAGAAAAAAACTTTAGAAAATTACCAGTAGAAAAGAAGGAATTTAGAGTTGATTTTTCTAGGACTTTTCTCAGTTAATCACTACAGACAAGATTTCAGTGTATGAATTCTGTGGTCATTGATTAAAGGAAGGCTTGCTAGAATTTCTAATAGTTTTTTGGAAATGATTAGAAGCAAAATATAATTTATTGTTCATCTCTGCATGACATAATGGAAAAACTTAATAGAAAAATAAATGGAACCTCAAAACAGTAAAAAATGCAGTTTAGCAGACCACAATAATTTGAGATGTTTAGTTACAACAAGAAACAATATGGACTTAGCAAGAAACAAAATTAATGTGTTTTTATATTTATAAGTTTTATCTACTAATTTTTTTCAAACTGAGTATTATCCTGTAAGAAAGAGGAAATTAAAAATAAGACTATAATCCAATCTAGTGTGGAACCAGATATTTTCATCCCGTATGCTTTTATTTTGTGAATGTTATAGATAGTACCAGAATTGTGACTAGGATGATTTTTTCACAAGTTATCTTCTCATAGAAAAATATCATACTTAGAAAAATATGAAGGTATCATACTTAGAAAAATATGAAATAAAGTATTAGGTAATTTTTATGATTTAGATTTTATACTATTGAAAATATCCATTTGCAGAACCCCCCGAAGCCATGGGGGAATTGGCCAGACAGCAGAGAGCAGGAGGGCCAGGATGGGGACCACAGGCCGGGGGTGTGTGGTTCTAGGCTCACCTTCCTCACTCACTTACCTATGTCCTTGGATTTATCATTTGGCATTTGTATGTGGTCTATGAAGAAAATTAAATAAAGGTTGATGTCTATGTAGTGTTAATCCATATTGTATTTCATGGCATAAATTTGACAATTTCTATTTTAATCTTTTTAAAAATCTAGGCTTCTGAATTAAAGTACCAAACACAGATATATGGAATTCCATGGAAAAAGTGCCCTCTTAAGTTGTTAGCCAATGCCCTATGATATCTGTATGGGGTAGTGGTGTGTAATTAATGTCCTTTTCTCTTAATAAAGTTACTTGCCACTCATGGACACCAATGTCACTTGGTTTAACTTTGAGAAACTGATCTGGAACCCAGTTGCCCCTGCTGATGTTTCAGGGGGCTTAGCTTTTTCTCAAGCAAAACTTCCTGTGTTAGAAACTGTATAAAGTATTTGAGCAAAGTGTTTCTGTTCAACCTATTGACAAACAGTAGACAAAGCATCTACATTTCTTATTTCCCTCCCTGGGATCAGTAACGCATCACTTTAGAGTATTATTAAGTTGAAAAATCAGGCAGAGACCATACAAAGCATGTTTCTCAGAGCGGCTCTGCTGGGACGTGGGTAGGATGGAGGACCTGGTAGGAGTGTTCTGTGAGGAGTGTCTGTGAGTTTGTAGCCGAGTCTCATCTACTAGAAACTTGCCAAGATACCTCCTCCACCACAGTGAAGACAGATAAGCTGTATTGCCAAAGTGAAAACTGTCTTTTTCAGACAGTGTTTTTTTTCTTCTGTATCTCTTATTTCATAAGTCTTGAAAAATAAGATGTGGAAAGTGGAAATAAATGAGTGTTGATTCCTCAGTTAAATTTTTAGCACATTCTACCTCAGTTTTCTAATGTTCAGAATGGGGATCATATAACCTATCCTACAGTGGTGTATAAAAATGAAAAAAACAAACATTTATTTATAGAGGTAATGAAAGATAGGTTTTCATATAAAACAAGGTGATCATACTAATGTTGTTATGTCTCTTATCTCATCATTTAAATGGTATTTCTCTTTAAAATCTACACAGATGGTTCACAAGCACCAGCCAGACCTCCTAAACCACGACCCCGCAGGACTGCACCAGAAATTCACCACAGAAAACCCCATGGGCCTGAAGCAGCATTGGAAAATGTTGATGCAAAAATTGCAAAACTAATGGGAGAGGGGTATGCATTTGAAGAGGTGAAGAGAGCCTTAGAGATAGCCCAGAATAATGTCGAAGTGGCCCGTAGCATTCTCCGAGAATTTGCCTTCCCCCCTCCAGTCTGCCCACGCCTGAATCTATAGCAGCCGGGACTGTCGACACCCAAATGGAAAGCAAGCGGTGCATATTCCAGGAGTGTGGAAAGCAGAGAAGTGCGGTGTAATTTAAGAAGGAAGGTGTCTTGTCCTCACTTGGCGTTTTGAGAGAGGCTGGAAAGGGCTGCTTCTCAGAAGACGGCTGTGTGCTCAGGACATTGACGGCTGCGGCTTCCTTGTTTTTGCTAGCCATACTTTTAAATCAGGGTTGAACTGACAAAAATAATTTAAAGACGTTTACTTCCCTTGAACTTCAAATCTGTGAAATGCTTTTCCTCGTTTACAAGTTGGCGAAGTTGCAGTTTGTTTTTAGTTTTGTTTTGTTGATACTTGTACTGTGTTCTTGACGGACCCTTTGAGAGTGGTCAGGTCTGCTGTAACACTTCCCGCCACTCCCGTGCCGTCCACGTGTGGCACAGCTCAGTCTCATACTCCCGTTGGTCTCTCCCATCACGCCTCCACCCCCACCGATCTCATCTCTCCCATTTACAAGATGCTTTAAAGGTTCTGATTTTCAACGTATCAAATTAATGCAAAAAAAAAGTGTGTGGCCTTCACTACTGAGTCTTTTTTTTTTGGAAATCATCGCTGTTGAGAGATGGGGAAAATCTGAATGTATAAAACATTTTATTTTTTTCAGTAAGCTGCCTTTTCTAAGGTGTTTTCATATCATACAGAGGAGCTTCCCTTTGTAGTGTAATTTCTGGGATCTGTAATCTTCCACACTCTCATCTTTGTCACCCTGGGGGTGTCACAACTGTAAACACCTAAACGTTCAGAAAGCAACCGCTGCAGATGCGGGGAACTGCACTTGCACATGACGATGCTGCATGGAAGTTCCATAATGCGGCCCCTAGTACATGTGCCCGCGTTACTCTGAGGCATGCTGAACGAGGGGGCTGTCTCCCTGAAACATATTAATAATTTTCAGATAAAATTGTGTGGTCGTACCTCTCCCAAGTAGAACAGAGTTCGTTTCCTATTTGAGTGATTACACTCTGGTACCTACCAGATTTAGGAACCAGGTCATTTTGCAGTGGAAACATTAAACCTTTGATGCACTGTTAAGTGCTAATGCTACTGTGGCAATGTTTGTTTTTGTTTTTGTTTTTTTTTTCAAAATCCTTAGTAATTTTCTTTCTGTCATCAAATTACAGTTCATCATATGTAATTTGTAGATTCATTCATTGCTTCACATAGCTCCATCCAGTCAGGTGAAAGAAATTTTATAATGTTGCCTTATTTGGAAAATGGAGGTTCGTTCTTCAGAAACCGTGTTAATACTTTTAATAACTACAAATATTCATTGTGCACCTATGATGTGCTTGGCACTGTTTTTAAAGCACAAACTTACAGGCTGATTTTAGTATAATGATTTGTTTTATCTGTGCATTTGATCATAAAAGTCTCTTGGATGGAAAAAGCCTGGAAGGTTTCCACCAAGTCTTCAGAATTTTCAGGCAATCTGCTTTTTTTTTCTTTCCTAATGAAAAGTTAGTGGAGAAATAAGACAAAACCTGGTCTGTGCAAACCAGCAGAACCCATGGAAGGTGTTCTAAGTGCCACCTGACTGCAGGACTGGGCATGTCTCTCCCGCTCCTTAACTTCACACACCGTGTGATGTAGGAAGGCACATGTGATGGTGAACCTCTCTTCAGGACTTGAAAGGATGTGACCAGTCATCTGCAGATCCTATGGACTCGTGTAGTCCCGAGTCGACCTGGGGGGAGAACTAACACATTCCTTTGCAAAGTAACACCTGCCTTACCTGACTATTTCGCTGTCATGATATGAGGTACTTGAGTCACAGGCCTGGATAGTTTGTGCTCATGTTTTAATTTCTTCAGGTAATGCTGAGTTGATTAATGTCCCTGGAAGGGAATTCTTAACTTGCCTTAGCTGTTCTTCCTATGAGTTAGGTATATGACTACAGTTTTTCTACACTTTTTAAAATTATATTGGCCAGTTCTCCATTGCTTTGTGAACTCCATGTTATGTCATTGTGGTTTCTCAGTTGTTTGATCAGTTTCTGATGTCACATTGGGATAGCACTGTATATTTTGGCTTGTTTATGACTTGCTGATTGTAGGTCTAAAATCTGAAGGTTGCGACTTCATTGTGATGACATTGTTATGACAGACTTAATAGATTAGGGAAGGATGCGCAATACACATGTCAGAACATAGTACATTCTTATTCAAACAATTGTGGAATAATCAGAAAATTTCAAGTGCGAATTAGAAAAAAAAGAAGTGACTGATGGTAATAATACTAAATTTAGACCTGAAAAAAATTTTAAATCTATTTTGCAAAGAAAACTTACTAGCCTCCACCAAAATCTCTGCATCTTGTATGCAATAGCAACCATTGGTTTTATCATTAAAAAGAATGGATGAAAACTTATACAGCATGGAATGGAAAAGGGGAAAATACATCAAACGCTCTCATAAAAAACCCACTGCTACTTATTACCTGTGGCTTATCAAACTCCAAGAAAAATGTTTGAGAAAATAATTAAATGCAAATATCTGTATTTATAAAAATAACTGCCCATTAATGGTTGGTAATGATCCCAACTTGATTTCACTGTGATCCAAAAAAGTTAGACATTCCTCCCATTTCTTAAGACCTGATAGTATGTTTTTTTAGCCTCTATGCTATTTTTTAGCCCTAATAATTAACACAACATTAGCTCTCCTTTCCCCCATCCCCCAATGTGTCCTGGGAGTAAAATAATTTATCCTCAATGATAGTGAAGTAAAGTATTCTCCATAAACTCATTTCTTCTCAGTGTCTGTAATATCCTGGCCAATTTTTTTGGAATTGAATCAGAGCAGTGCTTATGGTGAACTTGAACTTCCTTCCACAAAGATGACCTTTAAGCCCTTCTGTAACCATTTCTCCTTGCTCACATTGCAAATAGTCTTAATAGACCCCAACTGCAACTTCAAAGGGCCCATCTGTAAACATTTCACACAAGAACACTTGCAAAGATTTCTTTATAATGTGAATTTTCCCTTTTTTTAACCCCAGAAGTATTTCCTACAGTTTGGACATTGTTTCCTCTCGGATTTTCAACTTGAAGCTTTAATTTGCACTGAATTATCTAACCTGGTTGAAATTTTAATTTTTTTCTCTTAAGCTGACAGATTTGGAAGCAAATTACAGTATGTTTTCAACAATACAGGTACTGCCTGTTAACCTGGAATTTTAGTGCTTCTAGGAAAAGTTTCCAGAAAAAGACAGAAATAGAGTGAATGGTTTTCTTCCCAATTACTATTTTATTTTTTAAATGCCTTTTAAAAATTTGTCTAATGTGACAAAATAGTTATGTGTTCAATTAATTTATATTTTATCCTTTTTTCAATTCTGGTTATTATGTAAACTCAAGTACTTTATCTGTTCTTTTAAGGTATTTTATAAAATGAATGTTAACTAAATACTGAGTTGGTATTTTTTTTTCAAATGAACACAGACATTTCTTTCAGAGCATTTTATGTCGTATTTTTTCTTCTTCATGTTAAGCAAAAGACATTTAAAAGCTAACTGGACAAAGTAATGCAGAGTAACTATCCCATATCATTTTAAGATATTTGCATAGATAAGCCACTCCATGTCTTAGAACTGAAAGTCAAAGTTATATTAAGCTTCTGGGTAAAAAAATAACATATCTGGGAAAGGCTGAAGGATGTCATACCACATAATTGATCATTCCTGGTGAACAATAACACCTGTCCTCTAAATTCTTGACTTTTCTCGTCATGTGTTATAGGCCAGTATATAGTGAGGAGAGAACAATGGAGGTAAAACCAATATGAATAACTTTTTAAGCAAGAACCATAGCAGAATGTTGTGAAAGTAATTGGCTGTACCTGCAAAATTCCATGCATAGTAAGTAGTATATAATTATGCCCCCAAAGAATGTACAACTAAATAGGAGGTACACATTAGCAAGTAATTCCAATGTAATAAATGCTGTATATAATTTATCACATGGTAATGGAATTCTGAGATTACCCTAAGTGTTTAAGAAACTTCATTGGGCCCTTACTGTCTGCAAGGAACTTAGTATTAAAGCATTTAATCCTTTACATCACAGTCATGCCTCTTCTAAGCAAAGTAGTATATGATACATTCCTGCTGGAAAGTTTGACAAGAGATAAAGCTGAACAGCCTTTTGTCAGCCTAAAAGAGGAGCTAGGTTTTCATTGTTAAGGAAGAACTCCAGAAGTAAAGCTTTTCAACTAGGAACAGCACACATAATAAAAATACTGTTACTTAGACACAGGCAAGAAGTAGTGGGGTCTGAGGAACACAGAAGAGACTGGGAGGGCATGTCTGTGCCTGAGGGTGAAGGACAGTGCAAGGCGCTCCAAGGTCCTAGGGACCGTAGGAGTAGGAAACGCTTGCTGGAGGGCAGAGAGAACAATAACCACGGAAGTACTCGGAGGAATCAGGGTGTTAAATTGCCATGACAAATGACAGTGGGGCAACAGGCTGAAGGAAATTTAATTCTCACGCTTCTTAATGTCTGTCTTTGGATTTTTCAAGGGAAACTTGGGCGATATTTTTAATTAATCAATTTTTGCTTTTTTTCCATCCCTACTGCCACTACCATCTCTTTGTATCTGTATTACGACTGTAGAGTTTTAAATAGCCTCTAACTGACCTCCCTCATTCTAGTGAGAGACAGAATGAAGTTTCTGAAATTCCAACTCAGTGCTACTCCTCGATCTAAAGCCCTCTGTGGCTTCCTGTGGTAGGGATTCTTGTCTGCGTTTCCTTTTACACTTGCTTTCCAGCCAGGCCCTTTCACTTCTGCTGTGCTTTCAACTGCCCATCTGTGCTCTCCGTCTTTGTATGTGTTGGTTCTTCTGACTTTTACTTTCCCTTTTTCCAGCCTGGCCAACTCTTTTTCTTTAAAGCCGGCTCATGTGCCGGCTCTGTGAATGATCTCACAGGTTGAGCTGAGCATGGTATCTTTCGAGCTTCACAGCACCAATGTCATACATAGTACTTAACATGGGATGTTGCAGCGACTTCAGAGATGGCCCCAACTAGATGGCATTTCTCTACTACAGGAAGAATGTCTAATTTCTGTGTGTGTCCCAAGCTCCTAATATAGAACCCAGCACACAGTACACAATAAAATATTTCAAATAAATAAAAATTGCACATTTAAATGTAAAGCAGTAGAAATGGTCTGGAGCTCTGGTTTCAGCTCTGCCACCAGCTCCCTGTGTGGAATAGCATCTTCTCTTGACCCTGCTTCCTTCGCCCAAGCACTAGGAGGCCTACATGCCTGCTCACTAATATGGTTACCAGAGATGCCTTAGTTGTGTTGTGCACTATTTGGATGAGGACCAGAAAGTATTTAATAAAATTAGATCCACAAAGTAAAAGCTAGGAGATTTAAAAATCTGTTTTGGTAAAGTTCAAACCCATTTTTTAGTAATTTGAGAAGCTAAAAGATTATTTAACTCTTCATACATATGTTATGACATCATGTCTATTCAAAAGGCTACTACTCTTAGATCTCTATGGCGGTAACATGGTGGCAAAAGCAGGCCCTGGTCACGATGGCAGAGTAGGTAAATCCCGAACTCACGTCCTCCCATGAACACATCGAAATGACAATGATAAAACAGTCATCACTGAGACTCACCTAAAGACTAGTTAGATTTCCTATAACTAAAGTTATAAAGAAGCCATGCCAGGATGGGTAGGAGAGTGGCGATGTGGTCAGCCCAGGCCCCACACCCATGGTATGGTGATTAATAATAAATGGGAGGGTACCTCAGCTGCAGAGGGGCCCCCTGAGGAACAAGGCGCCAGTGCACCACACCAGGATCCCCGGCCCAGGGCACCTGTGCCAGGAAGAGGAATCCCAGTAACATCTGGTTTGATGTTACTGATGGCCCAATAACATCAAACCAGTGGGGATTGCTTTCTAGAAAGTTGAAGGGCAGTGACAGATTGAGATGGGTTCTTAATTTGTGCACAAAATCACTTGCTCCAAGCTCCAGCACAGAGGCAGCACTTCCAGAAGTGTCTGGATCATATGGGTAAGAAAATGCTGACTAACTTCAGGGCAAGGGTGGATGGGCAGGGACCGGTGGGAACTCTCAGGGGACAGAGCACTGATGGGTGCCATTGTTCCTTTGTGAAGCTCTTCTCCCACCTAGCTGGCCCAGCGCAGGCGGGCACAACTCTGTACCTCTTCATTAAACTGGCTAACACCATTTGCCCATGCCAGCATTTCTCTGACACCTCACCCCACCCAACCTACTTGCCCTGGCAAGTTGGGGCAAGAGTTCACTTACATCATAGCTCCCACCAAATGGTCCCTAGGCCGATACACTTGGCGACCCATCTTGGCCTATACCAAAGCCCCTGTAAAGGTAGTCTGACCCAACATACCTCGTGGCCAACCTTGGCCTGTGCCAGAGGCCCACCAAAGTGGCTCTGCAACCAGTACATCTGACAACGGCCTAAGCTGGTACAACAGCCCTGCTAAAGCAACTCCTGCTCTGTGTGGCCAACCCTGCTCACCACAGCTTATCCACTGTAGTCGTGGCCAGTTCTCCCAGCCAGTCAGCTTGGGGTCAACACCATCCACTGACATGCCGGAACAATCCCAACCCAACTACAACAGGAGAGCATACACAATCCCCACAACTCAATGCGGGGCACCCATGGAGTGCCCAGTTTGGTGACCAGAAAGGGTTGAGCCACTGGGTCCCACAGGACACCTTCTATATAAGGCTGCTCTTTGAAGACAAGAAGATGTAGAAGATATATCTAATACATAGAAACAAGCACAGAAAGGAAGTGAAAATGAACAGACAGAGAAATATATTCCAAATGAAAGAAAAAAATAAAGCTAAAAAAAAAACCCTAAATGAAAAGGAGATAAGCAATCTACCAGATAAGAATTTAAAACAATGGTTATAAATATGCTCAATGAGCTTGGGAGAAAAATAGATGACTCAATGAGAACTTCAACAAATAGACAGTAATATATTATAAAAAGAACAAATCACTGATCTATAAAACAAAGTAGTGGAAATCACCCAATCAGAACAGCAGAAAAATAATAAAAATGAGGATGTTTATGAGACTTCTGGGAAATATCAAGAGTCCCAACATATACATCATAGGTGTCTCAAAAGGAGAAGAAAGAGCTAGAAAACCTATTTTAAAAATAACAGCTGAAAATTTGCCCACCCTGGTAAAGGAAATAGACCTACAAGTATAGGAGCACAGAGTTCCCCCTAAAAACTGAACTTAAAGAGTCCACACCAAGACACATTATAATTAAAATATTCATTAAAAATAAAAAATCTTAAAAGTGGCAGAAGAAGTTATTTACGTACAAGGGAGCCCCATGAAACTATCAGCTGAGTTTTCAACAGAAACTTTACAGGCTGGAAGAAAATGGAACCTTGTATTCGAAACAATGAAAGGGAAAAGCCTACAGCAAATATTATTCCATCCTGCAAGCTTATCATTAAGAATTGAAGGCTATGTAAAGAACTTTCCAGACAAGTAAAAGCTAAAGGAGTTCATCAAAATTAAACAGGTGTTACAAGAAATGCTGAAGGGAATTCCTTAAATGGAAAAGAAAAGGTCAAAATTAAAAAGAAGGAAACACACCAGTGTTTTTTTCCATAAAAAAATCACACCAGTAAAGGTAATACTTAACATAAGCAATGGACCAAGCAATTATAAAGCTAATATGAATGTTAGAAGAAAAGTAGTAACAGCATGTGTAAATACAATATTAAATTAAGAGATATACAAATGATGTAAAATATGATTATGAAACATAAACTTGAGGACATGAGTAAAAAAACTATATATATATATATATTTCTTGCCCAGGCCAGCATGGCTCAGTTGGTTGGCACATCATCCTGTGTACCAAAAAGTTGTAGGTTTGATTCCTGGTCAGGGCACATACGTAGGTTGTGGATTCGGTCCCCAGTCAGGGAGTGTATGGGAGGTAACCAGTCGATGTTTCTCTCTCTCTCAAATCAATAAATACATTTTTCTTAGAATGTTTGAATTTAAGTGACCATTAACTTAAAATATTCTATGAAAAGAGCTTGGTATATATGAATCTCTTGGTAACCATAAATTAAAAACCTATAATAGATACACAAAAATAAAAAAAAAGGAATCTAAACAAACCCCCATAGAAACTTATCACTGTACAACAAGAGAATAAGAAAGTTTAAACAGAGAAAAACTAAAAAAGAAAAAACTAATAAAATAGTAATTATTAGATGCCTATCAAAAATTACTTTCAGTGTAAATGGACTGAGCACTCCAGTCAGAAAAAGTTGGGGCATGCAGGTTGTGTCCCCATTCGGGGTGTGTATGAGAAGCAACTGATAGATATTTCTTTCACATCAATGTTTCTCTCCCTCTCTTTGTC